ACTGCCCTACTGAAGGCCTCTGACTGCCCTCCTGAAGGCCCCCGACTGCCCTACTGAAGGCCCCTGACTGCCCTACTGAAGGCCCCCGACTGCCCTACTGAAGGCCTCTGACTGCCCTACTGAAGGCCTCTGACTGCCCTACTGAAGGCCTCTGACTGCCCTACTGAAGGCCTCTGACTGCCCTACTGAAGGCCTCTGACTGCCCTCCTGAAGGTCCCCGACTGCCCTACTGAAGGCCTCTGACTGCCCTACTGAAGGCCTCTGACTGCGCTACTGAAGGCCTCTGACTGCCTTGCTGAAGGCCCCTGACTGCCCTACTGAAGGCCCCCGACTGCCCTACTGAAGGCCTCTGACTGCCCTACTGAAGGCCTCTGACTGCCCTACTGAAGGCCTCTGACTGCCCTACTGAAGGCCTCTGACTGCCCTACTGAAGGCCTCTGACTGCCCTACTGAAGGCCCCCGACTGCCCTACTGAAGGCCCCCGACTGCCCTACTGAAGGCCCCCGACTGCCCTACTGAAGGCCCCCGACTGCCCTACTGAAGGCCCCCGACTGCCCTACTGAAGGCCCCCGACTGCCCTACTGAAGGCCTCTGACTGCCCTACTGAAGGCCTCAGACTGCCCTACTGAAGGCCTCCGACTGCCCTACTGAAGGCCCCCGACTGCCCTACTGAAGGCCCCCGACTGCCCTGCTGAAGGCCCCCGACTGCCCTACTGAAGGCCTCCGACTGCCCTGCTGAAGGCCTCTGACTGCCCTACTGAAGGCCACCGACTGTCCTGCTGAAGGCCTCTGACTGCCCTACTGAAGGCCTCTGACTGCCCTACTGAAGGCCTCTGACTGCCCTACTGAAGGCCTCTGACTACCCTACTGAAGGCCTCTGACTGCCCTACTGAAGGCCTCTGACTGCCCTACTGAAGGCCTCTGACTGCCCTGCTGAAGGCCTCTGACTGCCCTACTGAAGGCGTCTGACTGCCCTACTGAAGGCCTCTGACTGCCCTACTGAAGGCCCCTGACTGCCCTACTGAAGGCCTCCGACTGCCCTACTGAAGGCCTCTGACTGCCCTGCTGAAGGCCCCCGACTGCCCTACTGAAGGCCTCTGACTGCCCTACTGAAGGCCTCTGACTGCCCTACTGAAGGCCCCCGACTGCCCTACTGAAGGCCCCCGACTGCCCTACTGAAGGCCTCTGACTGCCCTACTGAAGGCCCCCGACTGCCCTGCTGAAGGCCCCCGACTGCCCTGCTGAAGGCCCACGACTGCCCTATTGAAGGGCCCCGACTGCCCTACTGAAGGCCTCTGACTGCCCTACTGAAGGCCCCCGACTGCCCTACTGAAGGCCTCTGACTGCCCTACTGAAGGCCTCCGACTGCCCTACTGAAGGCCTCTGACTGCCCTAGTGAAGGCCCCCGACTGCCCTACTGAAAGCCTCTGACTGCCCTACTGAAAGCCCCTGACTGCCCTACTGAAGGCCCCAGACTGCCCTAGTGAAGGCCCCCGACTGCCCTACTGAAAGCCTCTGACTGCCCTACTGAAGGCCTCTGACTGCCCTACTGAAGGCCTCTGACTGCCCTACTGAAGGCCCCTGACGGCCCTACTGAAGGCCTCTGACTGCCCTACTGAAGGCCTCTGACTGCCCTACTGACGGCCCCCGACTGCCCTGCTTACCGTTGATGGAGTAGAGCTCAACTACGCCACCCGCGTCCGCGTTCAGCCCCAGCAGCTTGAGGATGGCGATGTGACGCAGGCCTGCACACGGCAGGGAGGGCCGGGTGGGCCCCCGTTAGGACTCGTCAGCACAGATCAACAGCCCGTTGTACAGAAGGGACAGATGGAGATTAGTCCACACACTCTTCTGCTGTAGGAGGGAGTGAGATGGAACAGATGGAGATTAGTCCACACACTCTGCTGTAGGAGGGAGTGAGATGGAACAGATGGAGATTAGTCCACACACTCTGCTGTAGGAGGGAGTGAGATGGAACAGATGGAGATTAGTCCACACACTCTGCTGCTGTAGGAGGGAGTGAGATGGAAAAGATGGAGATTAGTCCACGCACACTCTGCTGCTGTAGGAGGGAGTGAGATGGAACAGATGGAGATTAGTCCACGCACACTCTGCTGCTGTAGGAGGGAGTGAGATGGAACAGATGGAGATTAGTCCACACACTCTGCTGTAGAAGGGAGTGAGATGGAACAGATGGAGATTAGTCCACACACTCTGCTGTAGGAGGGAGTGAGATGGAACAGATGGAGATTAGTCCACACACACTCTGCTGCTGGAGGAGGGAGTGAGATGGAACAGATGGAGATTAGTCCACACACTTTGTTGTAGGAGGGAGCGAGATGGAACAGATGGAGATTAGTCCACACACTCTGCTGCTGTAGGAGGGAGTGAGAAGGAACAGATGGAGATTAGTCCACACACTCTGCTGTAGGAGGGAGTGAGATGGAACAGATGGAGATTAGTCCACACACTCTGTTGTAGGAGGGAGCAAGATGCAACAGATGGAGATTAGTCCACACACTCTGTTGTAGGAGAGAGCGAGATGGAACAGATGGAGATTAGTCCACACACTCTGCTGTAGGAGGGAGTGAGATGGAACAGATGGAGATTTGTCCACACACTCTGCTGCTGTAGGAGGGAGTGAGAAGGAACAGATGGAGATTAGTCCACACACTCTGCTGTAGGAGGGAGTGAGATGGAACAGATGGAGATTAGTCCACACACTCTGCTGTAGGAGGGAGTGAGAAGGAATAGATGGAGATTAGTCCACACACTCTGCTGTAGGAGTGAGTGAGATGGAACAGATGGAGATTAATCCACGCACTTTGCTGTAGGAGGGAGTGAGATGGAACAGATGGAGATTAGTCCACGCATTCTGCTGTTGAAGGGAGATGGAACAGATGGCGATTAGTCCACACACTCTGCTGTAGGAGGGAGTGAGATGGAACAGATGGAGATTAGTCCACGCACTCTACTGTTGAAGGGAGATGGAACAGATGGAGATTAGTCCACACACTCTTCTGTAGGAGGGAATGAGATGGAACAGATGGAGATTAGTCCACGCACTCTGCTGTAGGAGGGAGTGAGATGGAACAGTTGGAGATTAGTCCACACACTCTGCCGTAGGAGGGGCTGAGATGGAATAGATGGAGATTAGGCCACACACTCTACGATTACCTTAACCGCTATTCGGCCTTCCCCTAGGTCGACTCAGCCTTAAATGAGCAATTGGGGAGACAAAGGCGGCCGGGCGTGGTGCTGGCCACACACCCCCATTGTGTGCCACAGCGCCGGTAGCCTTCACAGGCGCTGCTCGCTAACAGCACTTGCCCCTACAGCCTGTTAGAGGCTACAAGGGGGATCTCTTTCTTTGTGTGTGTGTGTGCGGTGTGAAAAAAGTTGAAGATACACACATACAGTAGATGGGAAATCTTTGTCTTTGTGTCGGTGTGTGGCGGTGTGTGTCAGTGTGTCAGTGTGTGTGTCCGGCAAAACAACCCCCTACCTCCTCGCGGTGCCGGACGGGCAACTCTGTCGTGGACAGTGCTGTGGGGGGAGGGCCAATTCCGATTGGCTCCTCCCCTCATGGCATCTGTGACCACCACAGTGGCTAAACGGGGGGCTCTGGACGGGTGCGAGGGGCTGGTAACCCCTCCACCTTCAATTAATTACCACTAAACCACGTCTAAAATATATAACTAATAAGCTTTTGCCGGAGGCCCCGGGGGAACAGGCGTCTATGACGTCTCCTGGCCAAACCCCAATTGGCGGAGCCAGGAGATTGAATCTCTACTCTCGGGGCTCCTCCAGAAACAACGAAAATCTACTTCGTGTGGCTATGTGGAATGTTCGAACGCTCACTGCGGAGGAGAGGCTGCCACTCCTCTGTCGGGAGCTGGACCGGTACCGCCTGGATCTCTATGGCATTCAGGAGGTCCGGTGGACCGGTTCTGGCTCCTGCCACCATGAGGGGTGGACAGTCCTCTACTCGGGGCAGCAGACTGCCAAACAACAGGGAGTGGCTCTTCTTTTGAACAAAAGAATGAATGGGGTGTGGGAGCGTGGCGGTGAGGTGTGGGAAGCGGTAAGCCCCAGGCTACTTTGGGCTCGCCTTCCCATCAACCGGAGGTGAGGAGTGGTGGTCGTGGTTACTTATGCCCCCACTGAAGACGAACATCTGTGGAGGGATGCAGGCAAAGCCGATGAGTCAGATGCCTTCTATGTCCTCCTGTCACAGGTGCTGGCTAAAGTGGCCCCTCGGGATAGAGTCATCTTGTTGGGTGACTGCCCGAGTTGGTCATGATGCTGGCACCTGGTCTGGAGTGATTGGAGGGCATGGGCCAGATCAGCTCAATAACAACGGTAGGAGGCTGCTAGATTTTTGTGCAGCCCATGTGCTTGTAATTACCAACACACTGTTCTGGCATCGGCGCATCCACACAACATAATGGATGCATGCCGGGTCCAAGCAAGAACATCTGCTGGACTACATAGTGATGGACCAGTGGATGCGAGCCCATGTCCTTGTCACCAGGACTACCGTGGAGCTGATCTGCCCTCTGACCATCGACTAGTCATCTGTAAGATACGCCTGCCATTCTTCCACTCTGGTGGTGGGTGTACACCCAGGACCCCATTCCAAACTAAAATGGCCTGGTCTCAGTTATCTGATGAAAGTTGCAAGCGAGAATTTCATCATCGCTTGCAGCTGGGGTTGGCATCGTCCCCCACTCCTCCTGATGTCGAGGGGTAAAAGGGCGAGATTTAGGACTGACTCATGCAGCTGCAATGGTTGCTTTGGGTACGCGGTCCAGACCTCCCCAGAGAACCTGGCTGACAGAGGAGGTGTTCAGGATGGTTGAGAAAAAGCGACAGGCCCACTGCCATCGGCTACAGAACCCCACGTCAGAGAATGAGGAGGCTTACCGCAGCCTTCGCTCGGAGGTTGGGAGAGCCGCGAGGCGCTGCAAGGATGGGTGGTGGTCGCGGGTTGCTGGGGAGATGGAATCTGCCTCAGTGGCCCGCGATCACAAATCTCTATTTAACTCCATCAAAAAGTAACCTGCAGCGCCACACCTATTACCATCATTAGGGGAAAAAACGGTGATCCAATCTCCGACCCCCAGGAACAGGTTTGCAGATTTGCTGAGCATTTCTGTGAGGTCCTGGGGGAGGGGAAATCCCTCAGCCAGGAAAACACCGTGACAAAAAGTGGGGATGACCCTGCTGAGGCTGCGGTGCCTCAAATATTGGAAGTCACCCCTGTGAGTGGCTGGCTGAGGTGTCATCTGTTGAGGAAGTTATGAGGACGATCCGGAGTCTGAGACCAGGAAAGGCAGCGGGCAGAGATGATCTCCCAAGCGAAATGCTGAGGGAGGGTGGCGTTTGTGCACAGACTGGCCTGTATGACATCATAACAACAGTCTGGACCACTGGACGGGTTCCACAGGATTGGAAGGATGCCCTGGTGGCCCCTCTCTTTAAGAAGGGGGACCGCACAGACGGTAACAACTACAGGGGCATCTCACTTCTCAGTGTGCCGGGAAAGGTCCTGGCAAGGATTATTCAACATCGCCTTGCCAGGCACGCTGAGGAGAGGCTTGCGGAGCCCCAATGCGGTTTCAGGAAAGGGCGGTCCTGCACAGATGCCATATTTTCTGTCCGTAAGCTACAGCAGAGGTGTAGGGAATTCCAGCAAGACCTACATCTCTGCTTTATTTACCTGGTCAAGGCTTATGATACCATCAGTAGGCCTGGGCTCTGGGTTGTTTTTCGTGCTTTTGGAGTCCCTGACCCTCTGCTCATGATCATTAAGGACCTTCATGATGGTGAGCGAGCCCGGGTAAAACTACGTGGCCGGGAGTCAGAGCCATTCCCTGTAGACCTTGGGGTGCGACAGGGATGTCCTCTGGCTCCCACATTATTTAACATCTATTTTGACCATGTAGTTCATGAAGCCTTCAATAGCTGTACCGGGGGAATCTCCATTTGGTACAGATATAATGGGAGGCTGATCGATGCCCGGGTGTGGTCAAGGGATGGCCCCCTATTGCTCAACCACGTTATGTATGCCGATGATTTGGTAATAGCTGCTCATTTAGAGGAAGAGTTGGAGACACTGCTGCTGAGACTGGAGCGTGCCACTAAGAGATGGGGCCTTACCATCAGCCCCACCAAAACTAAGCACCTGCCTGGGTATTTTGTATCATCGGACACCCCACCCCCACAACTCCCAATGGGTGATGGGGCAGTTGTGGAGAGAGTGGAGAGTTTCCCATACCTGGGCAGTGTGCTAATGACCGGCTCCAGTTTAGCAGCAGAGGTCTCACTCCGAATCAGTCGAGCGACAATATCTTTTCATCGGTTGCGTAACGCTGTGTGGAAGCTACCTGGTCTGTCGCTCCGCACTAAGCTTCAGGTCTTCTCGGCCACGGTCATTTCCTCTCTTCTCTACGCTTGGGAAACGTGGACCCCCCTAATGGAACATCTTCGCCGGTTAGAAACATTTAGGCTGGCCTGCCTACGATCCATCCTGGGTTAACCAGGCTGGATTGTGTGAGGAGCTCACAAATCCTTGAAAGATCTGGGCAAAGTCCCATCAGTGAACTCCTCTGGCAGGCAAGGCTCTGTTGGCTGGGTCATGTAGCCCGCATGCCCAGCCACCACATGCCTAAACAGCTTTTGTTCGGCCGGATCGAGGGGGCTAAACAGGCGCGGCACGGGCTAGAAAAGAGGTGGAGTGACGCTGCTACTGGGCAGTTGGAGGCAGTCGCCCTCCAACAACAACGGAGGGCGGAGGAGTGACGATCACAACAACGAGCGGAGCGCCGGGTGGCTAAAGCACAGCAAGTTGTTACAGGAGGGGGCACAGGTGGTGCATCAGCCAGTCATCTCAGTCATCTCAGTCAGTTGACCCGTGGCACCTGGGTCTGCCCCGTGACCTCCTGCCAGCGGGCGTTTGACACTTCACGTGGCCTGAAGGTGCACATGGCCTGGCACAAGCGTCGTGGTCACATCACCGCCACTTAGTGGCGAATGGCGGTTGTTGTTGTTGTGTGTGTGTGGCGGTGTGTGTGTTAGCGAGTTCGCGAGCGAGGGAACGAGTGAGGGAGCGAGTGAGGGAGTGAGTGAGGGAGCGAGTGAAGGAGCGAGTGAGGGAGCGAGGCAGTGAGTGAGCGAGCGAGTGAAGGAGTGAGTGGGGGAGTGAGTGAGGGAGCGAGTGAGGGAGCGAGTGAAGGATTGAGTGAGGGAGTGAGTGAGTGAGCGAGGCAGTGAGTGAGCGAGCGAGCGAGTGAGCGAGCGAGGGAGCGAGTGAGAGAGCGAGCGAGGCAGTGAGTGAGTGAAGGAGTGAGTGTGTGAGTGAGAGAGTGAGCGAGTGAGCTAGCTAGCTAGCGAGCGAGTGAGTGAGCGAGTGTGGTGGCGGTCGCCCACTGTATACCGAGGTTGCAGGCCTGGCCGCTGAGTGAGTACAGCTGCTGCTGGTAGCTCCAGTCCTCGTCCGAGGGGCTCGAGATCACAAAGAGACGACGGCGCCAGCGGAATCTGTCGGGGCCCACGTACGGTGTGAAAGAAGTTCAACACACACACACAGCACGGTTGGCTATGTACGGTGTGAAAGAAGTTCAACACACAGCACGGGTGGCTACGTACGGTGTGAAAGAAGTTCAACACACACACAGAGACACACGGAGTGGCTGATCATCACGATGAAATTGATAGCAGCGAAATACTGTGAACACGTGACGTTGATTCTACATGTGCAGGGGTCAGGATCGAATCCACGACCTCCTGCACACCAGGCGAGGTAGTCAACATCTCCTAGCCACCGTGATGATGATGATGATGTTGAGAGACACAAACTTCAAATATACAGCAGCGGGCATCGTCAGGGTCGGGATGGAACCCACGACCTCCTGTACACCAGGCGAGGTAGTCAACATCTCCTGGACACCGTGATGATGATGAGAGACACGCAAACTCCACATATACAGCAGCAGCAGGCGTCGTCAGGGTCGGGATTGAATCCACGACCTCCTGCACACCAGGCGAGGTAGTCAACATCTCAGGCGAGGTGGTCAACATCTCCTGGACGCCGTGATGCGTCACAGCGTGACCACACGCGGCCAAGGTGAAGAGTTCAAGGCGTAGACAACCGGCGACCCCTCGCTCGGCCCCGGGGGCGACCTTGGCTCCATCCGCCGCCGGACCGAGGCTCACCGGGCCAGGGGCTCACCGGGGCTCAGGGGCTCACCGGGCCAGGGGCTCACCGGGGCGAGGGGCTCACCGGGGCCAGGGGCTCACCGGGCCAGGGGCTCACCGGGGCTCAGGGGCTCACCGGGCCAGGGGCTCACCGGGCCAGGGGCTCACCGGGGCTCAGGGGCTCACCGGGCCAGGGGCTCACCGGGGCGAGGGGCTCACCGGGGCCAGGGGCTCACCGGGCCAGGGGCTCACCGGGGCTCAGGGGCTCACCGGGCCAGGGGCTCACCGGGGCGAGGGGCTCACCGGGGCGAGGGGCTCACCGGGCCGAGGGGCTCACCGGGCCGAGGGGCTCACCGGGGCGAGAGGCTCACCGGGCCGAGGGGCTCACCGGGCGAGGAAGTTCTCGAGGGAGCGGGGGCGGTCCTCCTGGGCGCAGGCGGTGCCCTCACGCTTCTGGCGCTCCATCTCCCGCAGGCGCGAGGGGAAGGTGTCCACCAGCGCAAAGACGGCGGGCATCGCGATCGGCACCTCGTAGTATTGCTTAGGGGGTGGACACGTGGTCAGGGGGGGTGGACACGTGGTCAGGGGGGTGGACACGTGGTCAGGGGGGGTGGACACGTGGTCGGGGGGGGGTGGACACGTGGTCAGGGGGGTGGACACGTGGTCATGGGGGTGGACACGTGGTCAGGGGGGTGGACACGTGGTCAGGGGGGTGGACACGTGGTCAGGGGGGTGGACACGTGGTCGGGGGGGGGGTGGACATGTGGTTAAGGGGGGTGGACACGTGGTCAGGGGGGGTGGAGGACACGTGATCAGGGGGGTTGGGTTGACACGTGATCAGGGAGGGGTGGACACGTGATGAGTGGGGGTTGATGACATGCTCTGGACCCAGGACCGTGACCACCGTCGCCACCACCACCACCATCGCCACCACCACCACCGTCACCACCACCACCACCACCACCGTCGCCACCACCACCACCATCACCACCACCACCATCACCACTGTCGCCACCACCACCGTCGCCACCACCACCGTCACCACCACCACCATCGCCGCCACCACCACCATCGCCACCGCCACCACCACCGTCACACCGCGCGTACCTTGACCTTCATGTCAAGGTCGGTGAGCACCATGAAGAAGTGGTTGTAGGTCATCCCAAACTCCTTGCGCAGCTCCACCACGAGGTCGGAGGGAAGCCCCTCGCTGATCCGCAGGGACTTCTCGTTCTCTGCCGCGGAAGGGGAAAGCGACGATCATTGCCAATCACCGGAATTCACCGACAATCACCAACAATCACCAACAATCACCGACGACCACCGACAATCACCGACGATCACCGACGTTCACCGACGATCTCCGACGATCACCGACGATCACCGACGATCACTGACGATCACCGACGATCACCGACGATCACCAAGAATCACCGACAATCACCGACGATCACCGGCGATCACCGACGATCACCGATAATCACCGACGATAACCGACGATCACCGATAATCACCGACGATAACCGACGATCACCGACAATCACCGACGATAACCGACGATCACCGATAATCACCGGAATTCACCGACAATCACCGACGATCACCGGCAATCACCGGCATTCACCGACGTGTGTACATAGATTGTGTGTGTACGTACATTGTGTGCGTGTACGTAGATTGTGTGTGTGTACGTACATGCAAGTGGTCTATGCTACGTAGTTTATGTCACGTGGTTTATATCAAGTGGTTCATGTCAAGTTGTTCATGTCAAGTTGTTCACGTCAAGTTGTTCATGTCAAGTTGTTCACGTCAAGTTGTTCATGTCAAGTTGTTCACGTCACGTGGTTCACGTCAAGTGGTTCATGTCAAGTGGTTCATGTCAAGTTGTTCACGTCACGTGGTTCACGTCCAGTGGTTCATGTCAAGTGGTTCACGTCAAGTTGTTCACGTCAAGTTGTTCACGTCAAGTTGTTCACGTCAAGTTGTTCACGTCAAGTTGTTCATGTCAAGTTGTTCATGTCAAGTTGTTCACGTCACGTGGTTCACGTCAAGTTGTTCACGTCAAGTGGTTCATGTCAAGTTGTTCATGTGAAGTTGTTCATGTCAAGTTGCTCATGTCAAGTTGTTCATGTCAAGTTGTTCATGTAAAGTTGTTCACATCAAGTTGTTCACGTCAAGTTGTTCATGTCAAGTTGTTTATGTCAAGTTGTTCATGTCAAGTTGTTCATGTCAAGTTGTTCATGTCACGTGGTTCACGTCAAAGTTGTTCATGTCAAGTTGTTCATGTCAAGTTGTTCACGTCAAGTTGTTCAAGTCAAGTTGTTCACGTCAAGATGTTCACGTCAAGTTGTTCATGTCAAGTGGTTCATGTCAAGTTGTTCATGTCAAGTTGTTCATGTCAAGTTGTTCATGTCACGTGGTTCACGTCAAAGTTGTTCATGTCAAGTTGTTCATGTCAAGTTGTTCATGTCAAGTTGTTCATGTCACGTGGTTCACGTCAAAGTTGTTCACGTCAAGTTGTTCACGTCAAGTTGTTCATGTCAAGTTGTTCATGTCAAGTTGTTCACGTCAAGTTGTTCATGTCAAGTTGTTCACGTCAAGTTGTTCATGTCAAGTTGTTCATGTCAAGTTGTTCATGTCAAGTTGTTCATGCCAAGTTGTTCACGTCAAGTTGTTCACGTCAAGTTGTTCACGTCAAGTTGTTCACGTCAAGTTGTTCATGTCAAGTTGTTCATGTCAAGTTGTTCACGTCAATTGGTTCACGTCAAGTTGTTCACGTCACGTGGTTCACGTCAAGTTGTTCACGTCAAGTTGTTCATGTCAAGTTGTTCATGTCAAGTTGTTCATGTCAAGTTGTTCAAATCAAGTTGTTCATGTCAAGTTGTTCATGTCAAGTTGTTCATGTCAAGTTGTTCATGTAAAGTTGTTCATGTAAAGTTGTTCATGCCAAGTTGTTCATGTCAAGTTGTTCACGTCAAGTTGTTCAAGTCAAGTTGTTCACGTCAAGTTGTTCACGTCAAGTTGTTCAAGTCAAGTTGTTCACGTCAAGTGGTTCACGTCAAGTTGTTCACGTCAAGTTGTTCATGTCAAAGTTGTTCATGTCAAGTTGTTCATGTCAAGTTGTTCATGTCAAGTGGTTCTTTTCAAGTTGTTCACGTCAAGTTGTTCACGTCAAGTTGTTCATGTCACGTGGTTCTCGTCAAAGTTGTTCATGTCAAGTTGTTTATGTCAAGTTGTTCATGTCAAGTTGTTCACGTCAAGTGGTTCATGTCAAGTTGTTCATGTCAAGTGGTTCATGTCAAGTTGTTCATGCCAAGTTGTTCATGTCAAGTTGTTCACGTCAAGTTGTTCATGTCAAGTTGTTCACATCAAAGTTGTTCACGTCAAGTTGTTCATGTCAAGTTGTTCACGTCAAGTTGTTCACGTCAAAGTTGTTCATGTCAAGTGCTTCACGTCAAGTTGTTCACGTCAAGTTGTTCACGTCAAGTGGTTCATGTCAAGTTGTTCATGTCAAGTTGTTCACGTCAAGTTGTTCATGTGAAGTTGTTCATGTCAAGTTGTTCATGTCAAGTTGTTCACGTCAAAATTGTTCACGTCAAAGTTGTTCACGTCAAGTTGTTCACGTCAAAGTTGTTCATGTCAAGTTGTTCACGTCAAGTTGTTCATGTCAAGTTGTTCATGTCAAGTTGTTCACGTCAAAGTTGTTCATGTCAAGTTGTTCATGTCAAGTTGTTCATGTCAAGTTGTTCATGTCAAGTTGTTCACGTCAAGTGGTTCATGTCAAGTTGTTCACATCAAAGTTGTTCACGTCAAAGTTGTTCACGTCAAAGTGTTTCACGCCGCGCGGTTTACACGCCGCCGCGCCCACCCATCTGGTAGTGGTCCATCCTGAAGGAACTGGAGGTGAGGTTGCCGATCATGGTGAGGATGGTGATCTTGCGAAGGGCCATCCGGCACACGTGTTCCAGGTACTCGTCACGCTGCTGCGTGTACATGGCACTGCGCTCGCTCGGGGCGGTCAGCAGCTGCCGGAGGAACACGCCGGAGAGAGGCGGGCGGGGGGCGACGACGTTACGGCAATCGCGCAGCGAGAGATGCAGTGGAGTCGCACAGAGTGCCGTAGACTCGCACAGAGAGCCGTAGACTCACACAGAGACTCACACAGAGACCTATAGACTCACACAGAGACCCATAGACTCGCACAGAGAGCCGTAGACTCACACAGAGACTCACACAGAGACCTATAGACTCACACAGAGACCCATAGACTCGCACAGAGAGCCGTAGACTCACACAGAGACTCACACAGAGACCTATAGACTCACACAGAGACCCATAGACTCGCACAGAGAGCCGTAGACTCACACAGAGACTCACACAGAGACCTATAGACTCACACAGAGGCCCATAGACTCGCACAGAGACCTATAGACTCACACAGAGAGCCGTAGACTCGCACAGAGAGCGGTAGACTCACACAGAGAGCCGTAGACTCACACAGAGAGCCGTAGACTCACACAGAGAGCCATAGACTCACACAGAGAGCCGTAGACTCACACAGAGAGCCGTAGACTCACACAGAGAGCCGTAGACTCACAGAGACCCACAGACCCACACAGAGACCCATAGACTCACACAGAGACCCATAGACTCACACAGAGAGCCGTAGATTCACACAGAGACCCATAGACTCACACAGAGACTCGCACAGAGAGCCGTAGACTCGAACAGAGAGCCGTAGACTCGCACAGTGAGCCGTAGACTCACACAGAGACTCACACAGAGACCTATAGACTCACACAGAGACCCATAGACTCGCACAGAGACCTATAGACACACAGAGAGCCGTAGACTCGCACAGAGAGCGGTAGACTCACACAGAGAGCCGTAGACTCACACAGAGAGCCATAGACTCACACAGAGAGCCGTAGACTCACACAGAGAGCCGTAGACTCACACAGAGAGCCGTAGACTCACACAGAGCCGTAGACTCACACAGAGAGCCGTAGACTCACACAGAGAGCCGTAGACTCACAGAGACCCCATAGACTCACACAGAGAGCCGTAGACTCACACAGAGAGCCGTAGACTCACACAGAGAGCCGTAGACTCACACAGAGAGCCATAGACTCACACAGAGAGCCGTAGACTCACAGAGAGCCATAGACTCACACAGAGAGCCGTAGACTCACACAGAGAGCCGTAGACTCACACAGAGAGCCGTAGACTCACAGAGAGCCATAGACTCACAGAGTGCCATAGACTCACACAGAGAGCCGTAGACTCACAGAGAGTCATAGACTCACACAGAGAGCCGTAGACTCACACAGAGACCCGTAGACTCACAGAGAGCCGTAGACTCACGCAGAGACCCATAGACTCACACAGATACCCAAAGACTCACAGAGTGCCGTAGACTTGCACAGAGACCCGTAGACTCACACAGAGAGCCGTAGACACACACAGAGAGCCATAGACTCACACAGAGAGCCGTAGACTCACACAGAGAGCCGTAGACTCACACAGAGAGCCGTAGACTCACACAGAGAGCCGTAGACTCACAGAGAGCCATAGACTCACACAGAGTGCCGTAGACTCACACAGAGAGCCATAGACTCACACAGAGAGCCGTAGACTCACACAGAGCCGTAGACTCACACAGAGAGCCGTAGACTCACAGAGACCCATAGACTCACACAGAGAGCCGTAGACTCACAGAGAGCCGTAGACTCGCACAGAGAGCCGTAGACTCACACAGAGAGCCGTAGACTCACAGAGAGCCATAGACTCACACAGAGAGCCGTAGACTCACACAGAGAGCCGTAGACTCACAGAGAGCCGTAGACTCACACGGAGAGCCGTAGACTCGCACAGAGAGCCGTAGACTCACACAGAGAGCCGTAGACTCACAGAGAGCCGTAGACTCACACAGAGACCCATAGACTCGCACAGAGACCCGTGGACTCACAGAGAGCCGTAGACTCACACAGAGAGCCGTAGACTCACAGAGAGCCATAGACTCACACAGAGAGCCGTAGACTCACACAGAGAGCCGTAGACTCACACGGAGAGCCGTAGACTCACACAGAGAGCCATAGACTCACACAGAGAGCCGTAGACTCACACAGAGAGCCGTAGACTCACACAGAGAGCCGTAGACTCACACAGAGCCGTAAACTCACACAGAGAGCCGTAGACTCACACAGAGAGCCGTAGACTCACAGAGACCCCATAGACTCACACAGAGAGCCGTAGACTCACACAGAGAGCCGTAGACTCACACAGAGAGCCGTAGACTCACACAGAGAGCCGTAGACTCACACAGAGAGCCGTAGACTCACACAGAGAGCCGTAGACTCACACAGAGAGCCGTAGACTCACAGAGAGTCATAGACTCACACAGAGAGCCGTAGACTCACACAGAGACCCATAGACTCACAGAGTGCCGTAGACTCACACAGAGACCCGTAGACTCACAGAGAGCCGTAGACTCACGCAGAGACCCATAGACTCACACAGAGACCCACAGACTCACAGAGTGCCGTAGACTTGCACAGAGACCCGTAGACTCACACAGAGAGCCGTAGACACACACAGAGAGCCATAGACTCACACAGAGAGCCGTAGACTCACACAGAGAGCCGTAGACTCACACAGAGAGCCGTAGACTCACAGAGAGCCATAGACTCACACAGAGAGCCGTAGACTCACACAGAGAGCCGTAGACTCACACAGAGAGCCGTAGACTCACACAGAGCCGTAGACTCACACAGAGAGCCGTAGACTCACACAGAGAGCCGTAGACTCACAGAGACCCATAGACTCACACAGAGAGCCGTAGACTCACAGAGAGCCGTAGACTCGCACAGAGAGCCATAGACTCACACAGAGAGCCGTAGACTCACAGAGAGCCATAGACTCACACAGAGAGCCGTAGACTCACACAGAGAGCCGTAGACTCACAGAGAGCCGTAGACTCACACAGAGAGCCGTAGACTCGCACAGAGAGCCGTAGACTCACAGAGAGCCGTAGACTCACACAGAGACCCATAGACTCGCACAGAGACCCGTGGACTCACAGAGAGCCGTAGACTCACACAGAGAGCCGTAGACTCACAGAGAGCCATAGACTCACACAGAGAGCCGTGGACTCACACAGAGAGCCGTAGACTCACAGAGAGCCGTAGACTCACAAAGAGAGCCGTAGACTCGCACAGAGAGCCGTAGACTCACACAGAGAGCCGTAGACTCACAGAGAGCCGTAGACTCACACAGAGACCCATAGACTCGCACAGAGACCCGTAGACTCACAGAGAGCCGTAGACTCGCACAGAGACCCATAGACTCACACAGAGAGCCGTAGACTCACAGAGAGCCGTAGACTCACACAGAGAGCCGTAGACTCACACAGAGAGCCGTAGACTCACACAGAGAGCCATAGACTCACACAGAGAGCCGTAGACTCACAGAGACCCATAGACTCACACAGAGAGCCGTAGACTCACACAGAGAGCCATAGACTCACACAGAGAGCCATAGACTCACACAGAGAGCCGTAGACTCACAGAGAGTCATAGACTCACACAGAGAGCCGTAGACTCACACAGAGACCCATAGACTCACAGAGTTCCGTAGACTCACACAGAGACCCGTAGATTCACAGAGAGCCGTAGACTCACGCAGAGACCCATAAACTCACACAGAGACCCATAGACTCGCACAGAGACCCGTGGACTCACAGAGAGCCGTAGACTCACACAGAGAGCCGTAGACTCACAGAGAGCCATAGACTCACACAGAGAGCCGTAGACTCACACAGAGAGCCGTAGACTCACAGAGAGCCGTAGACTCACACAGAGAGCCGTAGACTCGCACCGAGAGCCGTAGACTCACACAGAGAGCCGTAGACTCACAGAGAGCCGTAGACTCACACAGAGACCCATAGACTCGCACAGAGACCCGTAGACTCACAGAGAGCCGTAGACTCGCACAGAGACCCATAGACTCACACAGAGAGCCGTAGACTCACAGAGAGCCGTAGACTCACACAGAGAGCCGTAGACTCACACAGAGAGCCGTAGACTCACAGAGAGCCATAGACTCACACAGAGAGCCGTAGACTCACACAGAGAGCCGTAGACTCACACAGAGAGCCATCGACTCACACAGAGAGCCATAGACTCACACAGAGAGCCGTAGACTCACAGAGAGTCATAGACTCACACAGAGAGCCGTAGACTCACACAGAGACCCATAGACTCACAGAGTGCCGTAGACTCACACAGAGACCCGTAGACTCACAGAGAGCCGTAGACTCACGCAGAGACCCATAGACTCACACATAGACCCACAGACTCACAGAGTGCCGTAGACTTGCACAGAGACCCGTAGACTCACACAGAGAGCCGTAGACTCACACAGAGAGCCATAGACTCACACAGAGAGCCGTAGACTCACACAGAGACCCGTAGACTCGCACAGAGAGCCGCAGATTCGCACAGAGACCCATAGACTTACACAGAGACCCATAGACTCACGCAGAGTCATAGACTCACACATAGACCCATAGACTCACGCAGAGACCCATAGACTCACACAGAGACCCATAGACTCACACAGAGAGCCATAGAGTCACACATAGACCCATAGACTCACGCAGAGACCCGTAGACTCACACAGAGACCCATAGACTCATGCAGAGAGCCGTAGACTCGAACAGAGACCCATAGACTCACACAGAGACCCATAAACTCAGATAGAGACCCATAGACTCACAGAGAGCCGTAGACTCACACAGAGACTCACAGAGAGACCCAGAGACTCACACAGAGACCCCGAGATCCATAGACTTACACATAAACCCATAGACTCACACAGAGACCCATAGACTCACACAGAGAGCCGTAGACACGCGCAGAGACCCATAAACTCACACAGAGACCCATAGACTCAAAGAGACCCATGGACTCACAGAGAGCCCCAGAGACTCACACAGAGATCCATAGACTCACACAGAGACCCGTAGACCCACACAGAGACCCATAAACTCATACAGAGACCCATAGACTCACACTGAGACTCACAGAGAGACCCAGAGACCCATAGACTTATACAGAGACCCATAGACTCACACAGAGACTCACAGAGAGACCCAGAGACTCACACAGAGACCCCGAGATCCATAGACTTACACAGAAACCCATAGACTCACACAGAGACCCATGGACTCACAGAGAGACCCATAAACTTATACAGAGACCCATAGACTCACACTGAGACTCACAGAGATACCCAGAGACCCATAGACTTACACAGAGACCCATAGACTCACAGAGACTCACAGAGGGACCCAGAGACTCACACAGAGACCCCGAGACTCACACAGAGACCCAGAGATCCATAGACTTGCACAGAAACCCATAGACTCACACAGAGTCCCATAGACTCACACAGAGAGCCGTAGACACGCGCAGAGACCCATAGACTCACACAGAGACCCGTAGACTCGCACAGAGACCAGTAGACTCATACAGATATCCATAGACTTACACAGAGACCCATAGACTCGCACAGAGACCCATAGACTCACACAGAGACCCATTGACTCATGCAGAGAGCCGTAGACTCGAACAGAGACCCATAGACTCACACAGAGACCCAAAGACTCACACAGAGTCCCATAGACTCACAGAGAGCCGTAGACTCACACAGAGACCCATAGACTCACATAGAGACCCATAGACTCACACAGAGACCCATGGACTCACAGAGAGACCCATAGACTCACACAGAGACCCATAGACTCACACTGAGACTCACAGAGAGTCCCAGAGACTCACACAGAGACCCAGAGACCCATAGACTTACACAGAGACCCATAGACTCACACAGAGACTCACAGAGAGACCTAGAGACTCACACAGAGACCCCGAGACTCACACAGAGACCCAGAGATCCATAGACTTACACAGAAACCCATAGACTCACACAGAGACCCATAGCCTCACACAGAGAGACCCAGAGACTCACACAGAGAGCCATAGACTTACAAAGAGACCCATAGACTCACACAGAAGAGCCATAGACTCACACAGAGAGCCATTGTCTCGTGTAGAGATACACACAAAGACGAAGATCCCCCGTGTAGCCCCTTACAGACTATTTGGGCAAGTGTTGTCAGCGTGCCCCTATGAAGGCTACCGGCGCTGTGGCACACGAGGGGGTGGGTAGCCAACACCACGCCCGGCCGCCTTTGTTTCCCCAGTGGCGATGTTTACTACACACCGCACCAGGTGCTCATTTGAGGCTGAGTCGACCTAGCGGAGGCCCAGGACCGGCTCAGATAATCGCCACTGGTGTTAGCCGTGAGCGGGAATCGAACCCGGGTCGCCGGGTTCATAGTGCAGTGCGCTAACCGCGACACCACCACTCCCCACACAGATACACACACACACACATGCACACACACGCGCACACACACGTGCACACACACACACAAAAAGATACACACACACACGCACACACACGCGCACACACACACACGTGCACACATGCTCACACACACGTGCACACACACACACATGCACACACACACACATGCACACACACACACAGATACACACACACACATGCACACACACGCGCACACACACACATGTACACACACGTGCACACACACACACACATGCACACACACGCGCACACACACACACGTACACACACGTGCACACACACACACACGTGCACACACACACACGTGCACACACACACATGCTCACACAGACACACACACACGTGCACACACACACACACGTGCACACACACACGTGTTACTCATCATCTTCAGACACAGCCCCCGACTTTCAACGTCAACAGCTTCCCAATGCAAAACAGACCCAGAGAGAGGGGGGGGGCGGGGGGGGTGACTCAGGGGGTGGGGGCAGGGGAAGTGGGTCAAGTGGGGAGGTGTGCGTTGAACTTCTTTCACACCGTACGGGGGGTGGCGGCGAGCCGCTCACCAGGAGTCGCCGCTTGTTGTGGAACTGCTGCAGGAAGGCGGGGAGCGAACGTGTCGCCGGCTTCCTCTCCGGCTTCTTCCGCTTCTTCTCCTTCTTGGCGGCGGCTTTCTTACCTCCTCCTCCTCCTCCTCCACCTCCTCCACCTCCTCCTCCACCTCCTCCTCCTTTCCCGGCCCTCCTGTCTCCGGGCTTGGCCTGCGGTGGCGGTCTCGGCGTGCGTCTCTCCACCTCCTCGGCTCGGCCCTTGACGCCGGTGGCGACGCCCGCGGCCGGCTTCCTCTTGCCGCCGCCGCCGCCGCCACCGCCGCCGCCACCGCCGCCACCGCCGCTGCTGCTGCTACCGCCACCACCACCACCACCACCACCCTTATCCCCCTTCTTGTTCACTGCCACCGCCGCCACCTCCACCTCCACCGCCACCTCCTTCTTCCCCTTGTCCACCCGCTCGTCGCCGCCGCCGCCGCCGCCGCCGCCTCGTCGCCCGCCGCCCGTCTCCGTCGCCTCCGGCTGTGCCGCCTCCTTCCGGCTCGCCCCCCGCTCCTCTCCCGCGACCCCCCCCCCGCTGCCGTGCCCCCCGCGGCTCGGGCCCCCTCCGACGTCCGACTCCGCGGACGACGACGACGACAACCGCCGGCCGCCCCGCACGCTCCTCCTCCTCCTCCTCCCCTCCTCCTCCTCCTCCTCCTCCTCCTCGTCGTCCATCGTCGCCCCGGCGACCGCCGCCTCGCCCGAGCCCGCGCCGCCCGGTCTCGCCGTCGCCGCGGCCGTCGTCGGAGGCCCTCGGCGTCGTCGCCGCGGCGACGACGACGCCGGGCGCCGGGCGACGCCGAGCGGGCGCGGTGGGAGCCGGCGGAGCGGTCGCGACCTCCCGGGTCGGTGCCACCGCCGCCGCCACCGCCGTGGTGGTGGCGGTGGTGGTGGTGGTGGTGGTGGCGGCGGTTGTTGTGGTTGTTGTGGTTGTCGGTCGCGTTGCGATAATAGGTGAGCCGTTACCACCACCGGCACCACCACCAGCACCAGCACCACCAGCACCACCAGCACCATCACCACCACCAGCACCATCATCACCACCACCTGCAGCACCACGCAGCCTCTCTAGCCGGCTGATGATCAACCGGCGCAGCATCTCCTTCCTCTCCGCCACCTTCTCCTCTTCCTCCTCTTCCTCCTCCTCCTGTCCCTGTTGCCTGCTCTGGGACTCCTGGCTGCCGTGGCCCTCCTGACTTCCTATTGGCTGGCTCTCCTGCCTTCCTATTGGCTGGCTCTCCTGCCTACCTACTGGCTGAACATTCTGCCGACCTACTGGCTGACTCTCCTGCCTACCTACTGGATGGCTGTCGTGCCTACCTACTGGCTGACCATTCTGTTGGCCCATTGGCTGACTCTCCTTTCCACCTACTGGCTGGCTCTCCTGCCTACCTACTGGCTGAAGATTCAGTCTACCCACTGGCTGGCTCTCCTGTTTTCCCACTGGCTGACCATTCTGTCTTCCCATTGGATGACCCTCCTGCCTACCCGCCGGCTGACCCTCCTGTCTACCCGCCGGCTGACCCTCCTGTCTACCGACTGGATGACCCTCCTGCCTACCCGCCGGCTGACCCTCCTGCCTACCCGCAGGCTGACCCTCCTGTCTACCCGCCGGCTGACCCTCCTGCCTACCCGCCGGCTGACCCTCCTGCCTACCCGCCGGCTGACCCTCCTGCTTACCCGCCGGCTGACCCTCCTGTCTACCTGCAGGCTGACCCTCCTGTCTACCCACCGGCTGACCCTCCTGCCTACCCGCCGGCTGACCCTCCTGCTTACCCGCCGGCTGACCCTCCTGTCTACCTGCAGGCTGACCCTCCTGTCTACCCGCAGGCTGACCCTCCTGTCTACCCGCAGGCTGACCCTCCTGCCGACCTGCCGGATGACCCTCCTGTCTACCCGCTGGCTGACCCTCCTGTCTACCCGCCGGCTGACCCTCCTGCCTACCCGCCGGCTGACCCTCCTGTCTACCTGCAGGCTGACCCTCCTGCTTACCCGCTGGCTGACCCTCCTGTCTACCCGCTGGCTGACCCTCCTGCCTACCCGCAGGCTGACCCTCCTGTCTACCCGCCGGCTGACCCTCCTGCCGACCCGCCGGCTGACCACCTCGTCTGCCTGGCGCGAGGCGGGCATCCCCGCGGCCCCCCGCTCCCCCGCCCCCGTCCTGGCCCTCGACTCCCGCGGCCTTGCACCGCTCCACGAAGCCACGCTGGCGTAACTTCTCGATGCGCCGCGCCGGCAGGCGGTCCACCGTCTCCAGGATGGCCTCCAGCCTCACCGGGTAGGGGTACCGCTCCTGCACCTGAAGAAGGTCAAAGCGTACACGGGCGCACGGGCACACACACACACGTAGCACGGTTGGTTACGTACGGTGGGAAAGAAGTTCAACATACACACACGTAGCACGGTTGGCTACGTACGGTGTGAAAGATGTTCCATAATATAAGCGCCAGAGGAGATCCCTCTCGCACCCCAAGGTGAACAAGGAATGTCGCCGACTCCCGGAAGGTCCTCAATGATCATGAGCAGAGAGTCAGGGGCTCCAAAAGCACGAAGAACAACCCAGAGCCCTGGCCTATTGGTGGTATCATAGGCCTTGATCAGGTCAATAAAGCAGAGATGTAGGTCCTGTTGGAATTCCCTACACCTCTGCTGTAGCCAACGGACAGAAAATATGGCGTCTGTGCAGGAACGCCCCTTTCCTGAAACCGCATTGGGGCTCCGCAAGCCTCTCCTCAGCGTGCCTGGCAAGGCGATGTTGAGTAATCCTTGCCAGGACCATTCCCGGCACACTGAGGAGTGAGATGCCCCTGTAGTTGTAGAGTCTATGCGGTCCCCCTTCTTAAAGAGAGAGACCAACAGGGCATCCTTCGAATCCTGCGGAATCCGCCCAGTGGTCCAGATACCTATTGTAATGTCATGTAGGGCAGTCTGTACACAGATGCCACCCTCCCTCAGCATTTCGCTTGGGAGATCATCTCTGCCCGGTGCTTTTCCTGGTCTCAGAGTTTGGCACCTCAGCCAGCCACTCACGGGGGGTGACTTCTTCCTCAAATATTTGAGGCACTGCAGCCTCAGCAGGGTCATCCTCACTTTGCTCTACGATATTTTTCCAGGCTGAGAGATTTCCCCTCCCCAAGATCTCACAGAAATGCTCAGCAAATCTGCAAACCTGTTCCTGGGGGTCGGAAATCGGATCACCGTTCTTTTCCCTAAGGATGTTGATAGGTGTGGCGCTGCAAGTTACTTTTTGATGGAATGAAATAGTGATTTGTGATCGCAAGCTACTGAGGCAGATTCCATCTCCTCAGCATCCCGCAACCACCACTCATCCTTGCAGCGCCTCACGGCTCTCCGAACCTCCGAGCGAAGGCTGCGGTAAGCCTCCTCATTCACCGACGTGGGATGCTGTAGATGGTGGGAGTGGGCCTGTTGCTTTTTCTCAGCCAGCCAGAACACCTCCTCCATCAGCCTAGTGTCTGCACTGTGTACCCAAAGCAGCCAAAGCAGCCATTGCAGCTGCATGAGACAACATCCTAAGCCTCGCCCATGTCCCCTCGGCATCAGGAGGCATCAACCCCAGCTCCAAGCGATGATACAATTCTCGCTTGCAACTTTCATCAGCTAACTCAGACCAGGCTACTCTGGGTTTGAATGGGGTCCTAGATGGACACCCACCACTGGAGTGGAAGAATGGCAGGCACATCTTACAGATGACAAGCCGATGGTCAGTGGACAGATCAGCTCCACGGTAGGTCCTGGTGTTAAGGACATGGGCTCGCATCTGCTGTTCCATCACTACATAGTCCAGAATATGCTCTTGCTTGGACCCGGCGTGCATCTATGATGTTGTATGGATGCACCAATGCCGGAACAGCATGTTGGTAATTACAAGCCCATGGGCTGCACAAATGTCTAGCAGCCTCCTACCATTGTTATTGAGCTGAAATGGCCCATGCCCTCCAATCACTCCAGACCAGGTGCCAGCATCAAGACCAACTCGGGCATTGAAGTCACCCAACAGGATAACTCTATCCCGAAGGGCCACTTTAGCTAGCACCTGTGACAGGTTATAAAAGGCATCTGACTCATCGGCCTTGCCTGCATCCCTCCACGGATGTCCGTCTTCAGTGGGGGCATAAGTAACCACGACCACCACTCCTCACCCCTGGTTGATGGGGAGGCGAGCCCAAAGTAGTCTGGGGCTTACCGCTTCCCACACCTCACCGCCACGCTCCCACGCCCCATTCATTCTGTTGTTCAGAAGAAGAGCCACTCCCTGTTATTTGGCAGTCTCCTGCCCCGAGTAGAGGACTGTCCACCCCTCATGGTGGCAGGAGCCAGAGCCGGTCCACCGGACCTCCTGAATGCCACAGAGATCCAGGCGGTACCGGTCCAGCTCCTGACAAAGGAGTGGCAGCCTCTCCTCCGCAGCGAGCATTCGGATATTTCACGTGGCCACCAGCAGTGGCTTTTTACTGTTTCTGGAGGAGCCCTGAGGGTAAAGATTCAGTCTCCTGGCTCCGCCAAATGTGAGTTGGCCAAGAGACGTCATAGGCACCCGTCCCCCCCGAGGCCTCCGGCACAAGCTTCGTTTGATATTTAATTTGTGGTTTCGTGGTGAATTAATTCAAGGTGGAGGGGTTACCAGCCCCGTCGCAGCCATGCAGAGCCCCCATTGGCCGCGGTAGCCTCAGCAGACTGTTGGGAGCAAGTGCTGTTAGCGACCACCTACGAAGGCCGGGACGGCACACGTGGGTGGCCAGCGCCACGCCCGGCCGGCTTTGTCTCCCCAGTGATGATGTTGACTACACACCGCTACCAGCTACTCACTTGAGATCGACTCGACCTCGGCGAGGCCCGCGACCCGGCTCGGTGAATCGCCACCGGTGTTTGCCGTGAGCGCGAATCGAACCCGGGGCCGCCGGGTATCACGGCGCAGCGGCGTCGCGCTAACCGCTCCCCTCACCGCTCCGCACGTCTCCCTCGCAGCGCGTTTGCAGAGTCGCGCGGTCACCTGCAGGTTCTTGCGCAGCAGGAGCATGCCGAACTTGCCCTTCTCAAAGTTCAGGTAGGACAGCAGCCTGGGCACCAGCTCAGCGCTCACGCCGGCGCGCACCACACGGCCCTCGTCCGTGATGCGCCGGGAGACGCCGGCGGCGTTTTGGTGCCCGATCCTCGCATCCCCCTCGTCCGTTCCTCCGCCGCCTCCGCCGCCTCCGCCGCCTCCGCCGCCTCCGCCGCCTCCGCCGCCTCCGCCGCCTCCGCCGCCTCCGCCGCCTCCGCCGCCTCCGCCGCCTCCGCTCTCAAACAACACCAGCTGGTGGAAGTGCCTCTCCGCCAGCTCGCAGTAGACATCCGCCTTCATGAGGCTCTCCATAAGGCGGAAGTATCCGTCCGTCGGCTCGGGCGCCTTGATGACCCAGAGGCGACGAACTCCACCGCCCGACAGCTCCGCCAGGAAGCGGGCGGCCGCCGAGCGCGGGCTGCGGTTGCGGCGCTGGTGCCGTGCGGGATGGTGCGCTCTCGGCCGATGACAATGCCGACGATGCCGACGATGACGACGATGACGACGATGACGACGCCGCTGCCGCTAAGCTTCCCTGCGTGAGCATCAGCAGTCGCAGCAGCAGCAGCAGTTGAAGGGGGCAGAGGCCGTCGCTGGGCATGATGATCGGGCACCCCCCGGGTCCCTCGGGAAGCCGTCGAATGCGGGGCGGACACTCGTTCGCTCGTTCGCGAGCGAGCTCACTAGCTCACTCGCTAGCTCACTAGGTCACGAACTCACTAGCTCACGAGCTCACTAGCTCACGAATTCACTAGCTCACTCGCTAGCTCACTCGCTAGCTCACTCGCTAGCTTACAAACTCGCTAGCTCACGAGCTCACTAGCTCACTCACTAGCTCACGAATTCACTAGCTCACTCACTAGCTCGCTCGCTAGCTTACAAACTCGCTAGCTCACGAGCTCACAGGCTCACTCACTAGCTCACTCACTAGCTCACGAATTCACTAGCTCACTCACTAGCTCGCTCGCTAGCTTACAAACTCGCTAGCTCACTCGCTAGCTCACTAGCTCAATAGCTTACTCACTAGCTCACTTGCTCGCTTACACTCTAGCTGACTAGCTCGCTCACTATCTCACTCACTAGCTCACTCGCTCGCTCACACTCTAGCTGACTAGCTATTTCACTATCTCACTTGCTCACATTCTAGCTCACTAGCTCGCTCACTAGCTCACTCACTCGCTCACACTGTAGTTCGCTGGTATCTCACTCGCCTGCTAGCTCGCTCACTAGCTAACTCCAACTCACGCGCTGGCTTGCTCACTAGCTCACTTGCTCACTATCTCACTCGCTCGCTCACTCAATAGCTCACTCACTAGCTCACTCAATGTCACTCACTCGCTCACTCACTAGCTCACTCAATGTCACTTGCTCACTCAATAGCTCACTCACTATCTCACTCAATAGCTCACTATCTAACTCAATAGCTCACTCACTAGCTCACTCAATGCCACTCACTAACTCACTAGCTCACTCACTAGCTCACTCAATGTCACTCACTCGCTCACTCACTAGCTCACTCAATGTCACTCACTCGCTCACTCACTAGCTCACTCACTAGCTCACTCAATGTCACTCGCTCACTCACTAGCTCACTCAATGTCACTCACTCGTTCACTCACTAGCTCACTCACTAGCTCACTCAATGTCACTTGCTCACTCAATAGCTCACTCACTAGCTCACTCAATGTCACTCACTCGCTCACTCACTAGCTCACTCACTTGCTCACTCACTAGCTCACTCACTAGCTCACTCAATGCCACTCACTAACTCAATAGCTCACTCACTAGCTCACTCAATGTCACTCATTCGCTCACTCAATAGCTCTCTCACCAGCTCACTATCTCACTCAATAGCTCTCTCACCAGCTCACTATCTCACTCACTCGCTCACTCACTAGCTCACTATCTCACTCAATAGCTCACTATCTAACACGCTAGCTCACATACTATCTAACACACTAACACAATAGCTCACGATCTAACACACTAGCTGCCTCACCAGCTCACTTTCTAACACACTAGCTCCCTCACTAGCTCACTCATGAACTCACTCGCTCACTCATGAACTCACCAGCTCACTCGCACGTGTTGTGTGATTGTGTGTAACTGCGTAGGTGCTACTCTTGCCCTAACAGTCTGCTAAGGCTACACGGGGCGTCTTTGTGTTTGACTTGGTGTGTAACTGTGTGAGTGTGACTGTCTTTGTGTGTGTGACTGTGTGTGTTTGAGTGTGTGTGTGTTACTTGGTATGTGTGACTGTGTGTGTGACTGTGTGTGTGTGACTGTGTGTGTGTGTGACTGTGTGTGTGTGTGACTGTGTGTGTGATTGTGTGTGTGTGTGACTGTGTGTGTTTGAGTGTGTGTGTGTTACTTGGTATGTGTGACTGTGTGTGACTGTGTGTGTGTGACTTGTGTGTGTGTGACTGTGTGTGTGTGTGATTGTGTGTGTTACTGTGTGTGTGTGTTACTGTGTGTGTGTGTTACTGTGTGTGTTTGAGTGTGTGTGTGTGTTACTTGGTATGTGTGACTGTGTGACTGTGTGTGTGTGTGACTGTGTGTATGTGACTGTGTGTGAGTGTGTGTTACTTGGTATGTGTGACTGTGACTGTGTGTATGACTGTGTGTGTGATTGTGTGTGTGACTGTGTGTGTGACTGTGTGTGTGTGACTGTGTGTGTTTGAGTGTGTGTGTTACTTGGTATGTGTGACTGTGTGTGACTGTGTATGACTGTGTGTTTGAGTGTTTGTGTTACTTGGTATGTGTGACTGTGTGTGACTGTGTGTGTGATTGTGTGTGTGACTGTGTGTGTTTGAGTGTGTGTGTTACTTGGTATGTGTGACTGTGTGTGACTGTGTGTGTGATTGTGTGTGTGACTGTGTGTGTGACTGTGTGTGTGTGACTGTGTGTGAGTGTGTGTGTTACTTGGTATGTGTGACTGTGTGTGACTGTGTGTGTGTATCTGTGTGTGTGTCTGCGTGCGTGTGTGCGTGTGTGACTGTGTGTGTGACTGTGTGTGTGTGACTGTGTGTGTGACTGTGTGTGACTGTGTGTGTGTGTGACTGTGTGTGTGTGACTGTGTGTGTGTGTGACTGTGTGTGTGACTGTGTGTGTGTGACTGTGTGTGAGTGTGTGTGTTACTTGGTATGTGTGACTGTGTGTGACTGTGTGTGTGTATCTGTGTGTGTGTCTGCGTGTGTGTGTGCGTGTGTGACTGTGTGTGTGACTGTGTGTGACTGTGTGTGTGACTGTGTGTGTGTGTGACTGTGTGTGTGTGTGACTGTGTGTGTGTGTGTGACTGTGTGTGTGTGACTGTGTGTGTGTGACCGTGTGTGTGTGTGACTGTGTGTGTGTGTGACTGTGTGTGTGTGACTGTGTGTGTGTGACTGTGTCTGTGTGACTGTGTGTGTGTGACTGTGTAAACGTCTCCCGTTACACGTAACGCTTCTTCCTGTTACGTCCTTTGATGTTGAAGCTGCTGCTGATGATGATGAGGATGGTGGTGCCGATGTTGTAGCTGCTGCTGCTGCTGATAAAGATGATGATGGTGCCGATGTCTAATTGTTGCTGCTGCTGATGTAGCTGATGAGTTGATGTAGCTGTAGGTGATGTAGCTGTAGGTGATGTAGCTGTAGTTGATGTAGCTGTAGTTGATGTAGCTGTAGTTGATGTTGCTGTAGTTGTTGTAGTTGTTGCTGTAGTTGTTGTAGTTGTTTCTGTAGTTGTTGTTGTAGTTGTTGCTGTAGTTGTTGTTGTAGTTGTGTTGTTAACGTCTCGCTGTGGATGTACGCCAGACACGGGCAACCTCAACCAGCGGGCACACGCAGAGACACAGACAGAGACAGACACACACAGAGACACAAACAGAGACACAGACAGAGACACAGACAGGGATAGGCAGAGAGAGACACACAAAGAGACAGACAGACACAGACAGTCACAGAGAGAGACAGACAGACAGTCACAGAGAGAGAGAGACAGACAGACAGACACAGACAGAGAGAGACACAGCCACAGACAGAGAGAGACACAGAGACAAACAGAGAGACACAGAGACAGACAGAGAGAGACAGACACAGACAGAGAGAGAGAGAGAGACAGACACAGACAGAGACACAGCCACAGACAGAGAGACACAGAGACAAACAGAGAGACACAGAGACAGACAGAGAGACACAGAGACACACAGAGACAGACAGAGAGACACAGAGACACACAGAGACAGACAGACAGTCACAGAGAGAGAGACAGACACAGAGACAGAGACAACAAGAGGCGATGCCTGCAACTGAACGCCAGCGGCCAGCCGAGACCCACCCCGCTCCTCCTCCTACACCCCCTACTCATCGACGAGGGGTGAGGGGTGGGGGTGAGGGGTGGGGGTGAGGGGTGGGGGTGAGGGGGAGGTGAGTGGGGGTGGTGATATGGGATGGAGATGCGAGGGAGGAGGAATCAGCAGCTGTGTTCTGTTGGGAAATTGTGATTGTAATGACGATGCTGATGGTGGCGGTGGTGGTGGTGATGGTGGTGGTGATGATGATCGTGGTTATGATAGTGGTGGTGATGATGGTGGCGATGATGATAGTGGTGGTGATGATGGTGATGATGATGATGGTGGTGATGATAGTGGTGGTGATGATGGTGATGATGATGATGGTGGTGATGATGATAGTGGTGGTAATGATGGTGATGATGATGGTGGTGATGATGATAGTGGTGGTGATGATGGTGATGATGATGGTGGTGATGATGATAGTGGTGGTGATGATAGTGGTGGTGATGATGGTGATGATGATGGTGGTGATGATGATAGTGGTGGTAATGATGGTGATGATGGTGATGATGATGGTGGTGGTGATGATGATAGTGGTGGTAATGATGGTGATGCTGGTGATGATGGTGGTGATGATGATAGTGGTGGTAATGATGGTGATAATGATGATAGTGGTGGTAATGATGGTGATGCTGGTGATGGTGGTGATGATGATAGTGGTGGTAATGATGGTGATGATAATGATGGTGGTGATGATAGTGGTGGTAATGATGGTGATGATGGTGATGATGATAGTGGTGGCAATGATGGTGATGCTGGTGATGGTGGTGATGATGATAGTGGTGGTAATGATGGTGATGATGATGATGGTGGTGATGATAGTGGTGGTAATGATGGTGGTGATGATGATGCTGGTGATGATGATAGTGGTGGTAATGATGGTGATGATGGTGATGATGATAGTGGTGGCAATGATGGTGATGCTGGTGATGGTGGTGATGATGATAGTGGTGGTAATGATGGTGATGATGGTGATGATGATAGTGGTGGTAATGATGGTGATGATGGTGATGATGATAGTGGTGGCGATGTCTTGGCCTCGCTGTGCGCTGCGTTGCACCACTCTCGGAGTAGTTAACCTCGCAATCAGTAAACTTTCAGAGCCGGTGTGAACGTCCGACTCTGACGTATTTAAAAAACAGAACGAAGCAAAACTGATGGAAATTAAACACCGCACAAAATACAGCATCTGTTCATGCTTGCAACATCAATACAATTGTAGTGACATCAGAGATGTCACTGTATCATCTTCATCATCAGCAGCAGCAGCAGCTACAAAACATCGGCACGACCATCATCATTATCATCAGCAGCAGCTTCAACATCAAAGGATGTAACAGGAAGAAGCGTTACGTGTAACGGGAGACGTTTACACAGTCACACACACACAGTCACACACACACAGTCACACACACACAGTCATACACACACAGTCACACACACACAGTCATACACACAGTCACACACACAGTCACACACACACAGTCACACACACACAGTCACACACACACACAGTCACACACACACAGTCACACACAGTCACACATACCAAGTAACACACACACACTCAAACACACACAGTTGCACACACAGTCACACACACACACACAGTCATACACACAGTCAAACACACACAGTCACACACAGTCACACACACACACAGTCACACACATGCTTGCAATATCAATACAATTGTAGTGCCATGCAGGTCGATGTTCCTACATCGTTGAAGGCGCCCCCTGGGCAGGCTGTTTGTAGCTCCAGCACTAGCGGGGCTTGATTAGCGCTGGGATATTGCCGGCTCCACGCACAGCGAGTGCTGCAAGCTCCAATGAGAGGGAGCGGGTGAGCGTCAGCCCAGGGGGCAGGGTTGCCCCGGGCGGTGGCACTCTGGTTGACCCCGTAGACACGTGATCCGGAATGTCCGCAGAAGGGGCCCAAGATGGGATGGGGGGAGTGGGGGTGCTAGGGGGCGATCACGTGTCCGGCGAGAGCTCTTGAGAAGGATCGAGAGGGAACGAGAATGTTCGAGAAGGCGGGCGGGGCCGAGTGCGGAGCGGCCCCGACCGTAGGGGGATATAAGGCGGGTTCCTGATGGGGACACGGGTCGCTGCATTCTACAAGCGGGAAGCTCAACACCTACAAGCTGGAAACTCTACATCTACAAGCTGGAAGCTCAACACCTACAAGCTGGAAGCTCAACATCTACAAGCGGGAAACTCAACATCTACAAGCTGGACGCTCAACACCTACAAGCTGGAAGCTCAACACCTACAAGCGGGAAACTCAACACCTACAAGCTGGAAGCTCAACATCTACAAGCTGGAAGCTCAACGTCTACAAGCTGGAAGCTCAACATCTACAAGCTGGAAGCTCTACACCTACAAGTGGGAAGCTCTACACCTACAAGCGGGAAACTCAACATCTACAAGGTGGAAGCTCACACCTACAAGCTGAAAGCTCATCACCTACAAGCAGGAAGCTCAACATCTACAAGCTGGAAGCTCAACACCTACAAGCTGGAAGCTCAACATCTACAAGGTGGAAGCTCACACCTACAAGCTGAAAGCTCATCACCTACAAGCAGGAAGCTCAACGTCTACAAGCTGGAAGCTCAACATCTACAAGCTGGAAGCTCAACACCTACAAGCTGGAAGCTCAACATCTACAAGCAGGAAGCTCAACATCTACAAGCTGGAAGCTCAACATCTAC